GGCACAGTCACCGCCGATGTGCCACTTGGCGTCCTCCCTCTGCATCTGATCACACCGCGATCAGCTACCGCTGGCGTTGTTGTGTACAAGACTGCCTCTCCTTTTGGATTACCTTTCTGGACTCTGATCATGCCTTGGTCTGACTAAGGAACTGACGACACTGTTTACAAAGGCCAGTGTATGACAAGGTGTCGTGATATGAAAGGAAGCTGGCTTCTGTTGGTCCTACACGGCTCCCTGACTGGGGTCCGTGAGATGGTGCGACACAGTAGCTAGAGACGTTATCAGACATGGTTCAGAATACAAGCCAGTGGCGATCCTGCTGCAACCTTATTTTACTTTCTTTGTAAAATGTGGTTGTATCTTCATTTACTGAAAGATTTCTTCTGATTGTACGTTTTCGCTCCCCTATTATTATCATTATTATTACTACACTACCTTACACCAAGCTCTTTGTTATTATTCTTTTCTTACGCTCCTTACCTTCCTTTCTCTTCGAATTCAGATTGTTTTGTGTGGCACATATATATTGGCGCTGTCTTGGACCAATATTTATGTGTTCAAATAAATAATAATAAATAAAATTTAGCTAAACTACAAGTAGACGATGCAGATTTAAAGGCGTGCAAAGAGAAGTCTAACCTGAATCCTTAACGTGTACCCATCCCTTTCTCAGATGCACCTATCATTTGCGACACTTCAACGGGTAATAATCGCCCCTTTGTGCCACAACCTTGTCGACGAAAAATATTTCAACAGCTACATGAACTGTCGTATCCAGGCATCAGAGCTCCACAAAGCTTATAACAGAACGTTTCGTTTGGCCAAAAATCAATTCGGATATTAAACATTTTACACGTGGCTGCTTACAGTGCCAACGCAGCAAAATCCAAAAGCACACCATCAGCCCAATCGGGGAATTTCCTATCCCCAACAAACGTTTTCAACATATTCATTTATACTTAGTTTGGACCCTGCCATCGTCAAATTGCTTCACTCACACTCTCACCGCGGTGGACAGGTTGACAAGATGGGCTATGGAATGCTCTATCAAAGACACTTCTGCTGAAACAGTAGCATCCGTTTTCCTTGACCGCCAAATATCGAACTATGAAGTGCCTTCGATAATCACTACAGATCGTGGTCCTCAGTTGCAATCTATCTTATTTCAGGAATTCACAAGACTTCTGGGTATGAACCACATCAAAATTACAGCCTGTCACCCAGCAGCTAATGGTTTGGTCGAAAGGTTTCACCGCCAATTAAGAAGCTCTCTGATGGCACAGGAGGCTACAACAAAGTGTAGTGACGCATTACCACTCGTACTCCTGGGAATCCGGCCAACCATATGGGAAGATGTAGGTTGTACAGCCGCCGAGGTAGTTTACGGCACAACTTACATTATCAGGTCAATTAGTAGACCTAAACAAATCAGTACCAACGGACCCAAGCCGTTTCGCTAGTCAACTACTGCAAACCATGCAAAGAATCAAAGCCATACCGCCGCGCGAACATAATAATCGAACACAACTCAACAAAAATCTAGAAACGCGCAAATTCGTATTCAAGTTGTTGATGTTACAAAGCCACTGAAACAACCCTACGACGGATCATATCAAGTTATTAAAAGAACAAACAAACACTACATAATCAACAAGAGTGGAAAGAAGGTGAACAAAATAGATAATATTTGCATCAACAAGTAATTCCGAAGGACAATGAAAGATGTGAGAACCAGGAGAGGTGCTGACGTAGCTTCAGATCACCACCTTGTTGTAGCCAATTTGAAACTGAAGCTAAAAAAGAACTGGACAAGTGGACAAACAGCACTACAAAGGTTCAATACAGCCTTCCTTCGAGATACTGTCAAACTCAATGAATTCAAGATAGCTCTCAACAACAGGTTCCAAGCCTTACAAGATCTACTGAAAGGAGAAGAAACTATTATGGAGGACGACTGGAAAGGCGTCAAGGAAGCAATAACTTCAACGTGTCAAGAGGTTCTCGGTCTAAAGAAATACCATCATAAGGAATGGATCTCTACAGAACCACTGGACAAGATCGAAGAAAGGAAGAACAAGAAGGCAGCAATAAACAACAGCCGAACACGAGCAGAGCAAGTCCAAGCACAAGCTGAATACATAGAAGCAAACAAACAAGTGAAGAGGAGCATCAGAGCCGACAAGAAGAAAAACGTGGAAGAACTAGCAACGACGGCAGAAAAAGCTACTAGAGAAGGAAATATGAAACAGCCTTATGATACAACGAAGAAACTATCAGGGAAATACAATAAACGAGAGAGGCCGGTCAAAGACAAAGAAGGCAAGCTAATCACCGAAATTCAACAACAGCGTAACAGATGGGTAGAATACTTCGAGGAACTCCTGAATAGGCCGGCTCCAATGAATATAACGGACATCGAAGCAGCACACATAGATTTTCCTATAGATGTCAATCCACCAACTTCGGAAGAAATTAGAATGGCCGTCAGACAAATCAAGAACGGGAAAGCAGCAGGACCCGACAACATACCAGCTGAAGCACTGAAATCAGACGTCGAAGTAACCACATACATGCTTTACCCTCTATTCAAAAAGATTTGGGAGGAGGAACAAGTGCCGATGGACTGGAAAGAAGGACACCTCGTCAAGATTCCAAAGAAAGTAGATCTGAGCAAATGTGAAAACTACGGAGGCATTACACTACTGTCAATACCAAGGAAAGTCTTCAACAGATTGTTGCTGAACCGGATGAAGGATGCAGTAGACGTCCATCTTCGAGATCAACAAGCTGGATTCTGTAAGGATCGGTCGTACACAGACCAAATTGCAACACTACGGATCATCGTCGAACAGACAGTTGAGTGGAACTCGTCACTATACATCAACTTCATTGATTATGAAAAAGCGTTTGACAGTGTAAATAGAAAAACATTATTGAAACTTCTTCGACACTACGGAGTTCCTGAGAAGATTGTCAATATTATCCGGAACTCATACGACGGACTACAGTGCAAACTAGTGCATGGAGGACAGCTGACAGATGCATTCCAAGTAAGGACCGGAGTCAGACAAGGCTGTTTACTCTCTCCCTGCCTCTTTCTTCTGGTGGTCGACTGGATTATGAAGACCTCGACATCGGAAGGAAAACACGGAATACAATGGACATCTCAGTATCAATTGGTCGATTTGGACTTCGCAGATGACCTAGCCCTCCTATCACGTACACACGAACAGATGCAGATGAAGACAGCCAATGTAGCAGCAGTCTCTGCATCAGTAGGCCTCAGCATACACAAAGGGAAAACCAAGGTCATCAAGTTCAAAGCGGAGAACAGCAATCCAATCGCAGTTGATGGTGAAACTCTGGAAGATGTGGAATCCTTCACATACCTGGGAAGCATCATCGATGAACAAGGAGAATCCGACGCAGACGTAAAGGTGAAGATCGGCAATGCAAGGGCTGTATTCCTACTATTGAAGAACATATGGAACTCAAAACAAATGTCTGCAAACCAACATCAAAGTCACAATCTTCAATACGAATGTCAAGACAGTTCTACTCTACTGAGCTGAAACATGGAGAACTACTACAACCATCATCAAGAAGGTACAAGTATTTATAAATAGCTGTCTACGCAAGATACTCAACATCCATTGGCCGGATACCATCAGCAATAGCTTTCTGTGGGAGAGAACAAACCAACTTCCAGCTGAAGAGGAAATTAGGAAAGGACGGTGGAAATGGATAGGACATACATTACGCAAATCGTCAAACTGTATCACGAGACAAGCCCTAACTTGGAATCCTGAAGGGAAGCGGAAAAGAGGAAGGCCAAAGAACACATTGCGTCGGATAATAGAAGCAGATATGAAAAGGATGAATTACAACTGGAAGGAGCTAGAAGGGATTGCCCAGGACAGGGTTGGATGGAGAATGCTGGTGAGAGGCCTATGCTCCTTCAAGAGGAGTAACGGGCGTAAGTAAATAATTAAGTAAGTATTTTTTACATCAAAGGCATTCTTTATGTTTTGATTAAATTTCAATCTAAAATTAGTGCAATTAACCTAGTTTGATATCATTATTTACCCTTGTTAACCCTCGTGGAGGAGCTTAGGCCGCTGTACCAGAATTCTTCTTGGGACTCTGTACTGAGAAATTACTTCCAGTTACTATTGATTCTTTTGATTTCTGCTTCTGATCCTCCCTTTCATTGCAAATTAGGACATGCCTCGCGATTCATTTTTTTTATTTCCGCAATATATGTCTTATCCAGCGTCTTTTCGTAATTTCCTCTTCATTTAGAAGCTAGTTTGTTCTCTCGTACAGTTGGCTGTTGCTGATGATATACGGCCAACGGACATTCAGTATGTTACGTAAACAATTGTTTATAAATAATTGTGCATTTTTGATGATGGTTGTTATAGTTCTTGAGGTTTCAGCTCCATACAGTAGAACTGTCTTGATGTTCGTATTGATAAACCAGAAAAACGTCATAGTATGTGATATCAAAATATGAGTAGAGGCTGTCAAATGTAACTGTTTAATTTATTTAATTCAGTTGATAAAAATATGAAAACAGTCAGTATTAATCAATGCTATTGGCAATAAAACGTTATTACACAATATTCGAATGCACTGAACGAACACTTTTGTGGGGATAACCAATTTATCAATTGGCGTCAAACATCACTATGCTTTCATAAAATTAAGTCCTTTATTTGCAAGTCTCCTTTCAGTTGTCGTGTACATACTTCTTCATTCTTCATATTTGGCTGTCATTGTAATTCCTCACCGTTTCCTTTTCTGTTTTTCGTAATTCAATCTGAAACTTTTGCTAACAGGCAGTCTATTTCATTTTGGTATTACATACTACTTATATCTGTCAAAATAAGTAGCATACATCACGTGTTTATCCGCTTTTTAATGGTTGAATTAATCAAGTGTGATTGAAATAGATTGATATAAACCTCATAACACCATACAATTCATCACATTTTATGCTGTTTGTACTGTTTTTCCTTTACACTATTGTAGATGAAATTTCATCGGCTTTCGCTTCTTCATCATCCTCATCTACTTCATCATTGTCATCGTTATCAAATAATAATCGTAATCATCATAATAATAATTTAATATTAGCTACTGGATCAGCATGTCCATCAAATCCTGGAATTGCATGTAGTCATGATTATTTGTCAGTCGATGCTCGCATCTCCAATGTTTATGATGGTACAATTAGCAATATACCAATAATTCGTTTTTGTTTAATCAATAATTCCACATTGAAAACAATCGCTACAAAGACAAATACAAAATTAACAGAAATACAAATGACCAATTCATCATCATTATCTTCTTCTTCTTCTTCATCTTCAATCTCCTCTGGATCATTTTCATTTAATTCAATAGATTGTAATACATTATATCCACCAGATGAATCATGTTTAGTTGGGCAAATTTATGGTCCAATCAGTAATGTATACGGTTTACAGTTTACATCAAATTTAAATTTATTAGATCCATATATTATTCATGGAAAAGGCATAGTGTTAGAATATATTGGTAAGCATTAGTTTGTTTTTTGTTTATTACAGAGATTGTTTAAATGTTCATGTTATACTCATGATGGACTGATTGTAAGCAGATAATCATTGAAAATGAGGAAACAATAAATGGCTATTTCATTCATTGTAGCATTGAACTGTTCAGTATTTGACACTGATGAACCATTCAAAGAATTTCAGACTTGATGGCGAGACATTAATTCTTACACTAACTAGTTGGGACCTAATGGTTGATGCATGTGAAGACAATCCGTCAGTCAGTCAACTTACAACATTACGAAATCATTATCTAGTGACATTGATGCGTAGTTGCCTCGGACTCGATATAACCGAACTACATTGATCATAGCCTGTTACTAGAACTCTAGGCATTACTTCACGAAATTACTCACTATTGAGGCTTACTGCGAGCTGACTCAAGTTATAAAAACGTAAACCTGATATGTAGCTGATGAAAATACTGATTGGTTGTTTACCTAGTCAGAGTAGTAGATGGTCTGACAAGTATTAGATGTGCCATATGTTTCCTATAACATTATTACTTCTTATTGTTCGTTAATGTCGTTGAAATATACTAATGTTCTAGTGTGATCAGTTACGTGTTCGTGATCAAAATTGCATTGAAGTCTTGTAGAATGGACACTGGCATGGTATCTCGTATAGATATCTTGTTTTAATTTCCACAATGAGAATTTCTGAAATTTCTGAGTTGACATTAGTTTGATGACTATCAAAAGTCAAGATAAATTGAAACAAATATACCCATTATCTTCAACTTTCATCAGTGAAAATGACACCATCTAACCACTAAATAATTTCAAATTTCGTCACCGATTGATGATGAATTCAAATGACGAAATCTTCAGGGATAATTAATTCAACGTCGTCGATTTACTGTTAAACAACAAGAGAATGACTTCAAAAGTACTCAACGAAATCGTTGATTTTTATTGATTGGTTACTTCACTGGTTTATTTTATTATTCAGTTAATTATTTGTTATGATAGTGATTATTGCACTCACCCTAACCTACCTTTCTAACTGAATACGTCTATCGAGATAGGTTAAATTGATTTTCAATAGTCTCTTTCTATATCATAAAATGATGTACTAGAACTTCAGGAACATCTTGAAATAAGTCATTAGTAGTGAGCTGATTATTATTGCTAAGTCAAAGTAGTTTTATGCCAATTAATTTAATTTATAGGTAGCATTTATCACAGATTGATCTCAGTCGAAGCACTACTGCTGTAACAGTGATTCGGTGTTCAATATTTTTCGATTATACTCTATGATCCATCTGAGATGAATATAATCTATAAATTAACCAATCAACAGAGAGAGAACCTCATTCAAACTGGATGTAACAGTAATTGAATTTTTGTTTAAATCACCAACGTGTTAATTTCAATTAATCATACTAGAGATAATCCATTTTCTCTTCATAAAAGCTCTTCTCCTCTTGACTATGACTCATTAGAAAAAGTCGTAACGACATTTATTTGTTTGTTTTATTGTGTAAACATTGTTTTGCTTTATTAGTTAAACAGTTAGGTTCAATGTTCAAACTTCACTAATTTGTTCTTGATTTCAAAAAGACTGTGTTATTTATCTCACGATTAGTTCAGTTGTAATGTAGTGAACGAGAACACAAGTGGGGACAATCGAATGTATTTTAATACAACATAATAGAATATCTTAGTAAAATAGGAGAATCATACAATAAATACTTCGTTTACAAAATGTTAATTAAGTGTCTCAGATGTCATTTTTCCCGCATTTCTATACCGATTACTTTCTGTGCCCGTTCTTTCGTTTTTCGATCTTCTCGACCTTCTGCTACCAGACATTCTATTCCCGACTGACGTTTTAAAATCGCTTCATATCTTTCTTTCTGCAGACTAATTCTTTCTTCATGTATTATGTCCTTATATGCAATCTTTATTTTTTTTATATTACCACCAATTAGTTAACTACTTCTATGAATCCGGTGTTCATAATGTTGTGCTAATGAAGTGTGGCAACTTGGACCGATGCACACATGTGCCTGGTCCTACATTGTAGCTGACTGACTGACTTATACTACTTATGTATATATAAGTAGCACACATCACAGTGAATTGAATTGTATCGTAATCATTTGTTTAATGCTCAATGTACTTTTTGTCTTTTTAATGCAATTATGATGGTGTAATTTTTGTAAGACAATAGAGGGAACTCTTTCGTTCTGTTTAATCAAGCTATGTTATGATTGTATTCACTACTATCATGAATAGACATACATTCTATAATGGAATTTTTATTATTGGCAGGAGAAGAAACTTATGTAAATCAGCTACAGTCTTGTTATTATCAGATTTACACACTAGAGTTCATGCGTATTTTTTTCAGTCGATAACAATATAGTTTATGTTACAGACTGACCATTAGTTAAACAACCATAGAAAACCAAGTGGTATGGCTGGATAGCTATTTCGTCCTACTATGAGACTCCGCACCAATATGTATCCCCAATCTTACCAACAGAGATCGAACACAGGATCTTAAAATTTCTCAGTGAGTGTGTGCCAATGAAAACTACCAGATTGGTATTCAGTGGTGAACAGCTCAATTGGTGCTCCAAAGGGTGTCTTATTTCCGTTTAGGTCGTATTATTTATTGACAGAATGTAAAGAACCCTCTGAATATATTCAACTATGTGATCCTGAACCTACAGGCTCTGGCACGGCCATAAGGGAGTCAGCTCCTCCACTCGAAATGTCTCACATATCCACGCGAATACAGCCACTTCCATGAAAGTCCTACCCACTAGCCTCTCGCTGCAGAGGCGCTGTTTACGAAATGGAGAAGACGAAAAGAGAATATCCGGCGCTTTAGCCGGGTTGGTGGACGCAGAGGGTCCATCTAGGTTAATTGGTGCACATGGACTCCATAATCTTGAGGGAACAATAGGTGTATCAACCTGTTGTTGGCCAGCGGTTACAATGTGACTGCATCGCCTAGCGTTGATCCACTGTCCTGTAGGTTACACCTGTAGGTCAGAGGCTTGAGGAGTAGCACCTGAAGAAAACCATTTGTTTCGGCTTGAATGCCTGATCAGTATTACAACGCTCACACAAATCGAATGACCTGTGTGACGCATCTATACCAGTATTTATGTGTTTAAATAAATACAAACAATTCCTCCCAATGAGTCCTGAAAGTCTTGAGCTGATTATTATCAATTCATTTGTCGACTAATAAACAGATATATGTCATTAATTTGCACTGATTGCCCAGTTTGCTGAATTCATTAACAATCGTGAAATGAAATGGTTTTATTACGAATTATAATCCTGCGGAACCCTGTCAATCGATACTTTGTCCCGAGGTCTTATTTTGTTTAGAAATTACGTCTCTGCACTTTTAAAGAGTTTTAGCTAATTTTAAAACATCTACCTAGTGTTTTTCTCTATTTGTATGTGGTAATTACACGGTTTAGTATCAAGTCCATGGACAAAATTACCAGTGAAAATGATTACGAAGTTTTCAGTTCAAACGAAGATTACTGAAAAGAAACAGAGTCTTTTTACTTAGGATAAAATCGTTAACCAATGTTTTCTAGTTTTATATAAGTACTCTAAGAGAAAGTAATCTATGAAGAACATAACTAACAGATATTTTTCTCAAATCGAATAAGTTTGATTAGGGTGTAAACTAATAAATAAGTCGATCAGACTATGGCGTAATTAGAGATAAAGTTGTGCTTATAAACAGAGGTAATTGTGGCTAGCAGTGAGACCCAATACACGCGTTTCATCCTGTCTGGGACTGGTCAGCTGGATATATCTGCATTCGAGAGTTGATGTTCACTCTGGTACTCGACCTTACTACCGTCTGTTCGGAGCACCATCGCGTCATTCATTTAGCTACTGAGTTCGAAAAGCAACTCATTTGTGCAATGGAATGACGTTTAATTCATGGAATACAGGTATACCCATCTGATGAGTCCTAGATAAGACGAAACGCACGTTCTGTATTCCACTGTTGACTAATATCCATTTTTGCTTATAATGCTTGTAGCTTAATGCGAAAATTGGAGATGTTCATATACAATTAAACACAGTTCATCAGTGCTATTATGTTTAGTAGCATTCCAGAATTCTTTAGCAGCCCAAGGACATTTAAAATATAAAAATTTTGTATTTCCTATATTAAAATGAACCTTGGAGTAAACTACTTCTCGCATACCTTGAGTCTTTTCTCTCGTGTTCAGGTCGTTTTATAGTTCTAGCTTGTTGGTTACAGAATAGCTTAGGAAATGAACATAGCGTTCAATCTGCAAGGCTTATCACTGAAATACTAATTCACAAGTCCACCTCGATTTATGTTCATTATGATTAGAAATCGGCCTATATGTTCTATTACTTAAATGGATAACGGTGAACATATGCTTTATCGACGTAATTAATGTCTTTCTATCTGTTTTATGAATTATTGGTCAGTGCGATCTTAGTGGAGCATTGGTCGTTGATAAAAGCAACTCTTTTGTTGAACAAAATTAATTCTTGTATTCAATAATGTCTATGTAGTTTGTTCAATAAATAAGTACGCTGGGGTGATTATACTGCAAGTTAATTTTGCAAATTTCAAAATAAATCAATCTTAACTCCTTCAAATTTACTCCATATCAGTCGTCAACCATCTGTTTGAATTGGTCCCAGGTGCACTTGTAAACAGCTGGTTTGTTTTGTACATCATCTCCATATATAACGCCTGAGTGTTTCATGGATTTCCTGAAAGCTTTTTCTCTCTAAAGTACACCAGAAATGTATTGATCAGCCTTCCTCCTATTTATAATTTACGAAATTCCAGTTAACTCAGCTTTTTAAACATTAAATAAACGATCACTATTAGTGATAGGGTTATGAAGAATTGTATTGTCTATTACATCATAGTGATGGACATATAGCAATTCGTATCCATGACTCTGTAATCTAGAATGGAATGTCTTAACAA